ATCCTCCCCATTCCCACGTACCGTGCATCACCTTCTGTTGCAGCTTCAGCAGCTGCTCGTCCGGGTCCTTGACCTCGCCCTCACGATCCCGCACCTGATAGGGGGGGAGGGGAGAGATGTGACACGGTGCGAGGCCATGGCATGTGGTGGATGTGTTGGGTGCTCGCTGTAAGCGTGTGTTGGGTGCATGGGCATGGTTAAGGTTCCTTGGTGCTTCACTGCTACGTCCAGATCATTGAATCTCGCCCTCACGCTCGTGCATCTGGTGGGGGGGAACATGGTGACTGCATAGCTATGGCACGTGGCGCATGGCTATGGCATGGGCGCATGGATATGGCATGGGCGCATGGCTATGGCATGGGCGCATGGCTACGTCTGATGCATAATTATGGCATGTGGAGTATCATGGTGCACAAAACATGAGCATGGTGCGTGCACATGTCATAAGGCAAGCTCGTGGGACGTTACAGGGAAGGGGAGGGGAGCCTGTTTTTGAGAATTCTCAAAAAACACGCTCTACAGGGAAGGGAAGGGGGGCCTGTCCACAAGGGGAGCCTGTCCACAAGGGGAGCCTGTCCACAAGGGGAGCCTGTCCACAAGGGGGGCCTGTCCACAAGGGGGGCCTGTCCACATGTGTTTTGAGTCGACTCAAAACACACCACGTCACAGGGAAGGGAAGGGGGGCCTGTCCACACCACAGCAAGTTGTACGGAGGAAAGGCGATGGTTCTCCTACCAAAGGCTCAGCAGGTGCTTTTGGGGGAAGTGCACACACGATTGGGAATGGGGGGGAGAGGGGAAAGAGGAGGGGGAGGAGGTGAGGGAGGATTTGGAGAGGAAGAGGGGAGATGCTTGGGGATGCAAGTACACAGGTGCTACATACTGTTTACCTATGTCTGCCCATGCGCTCTTCTCTCTACTCACTCTACAATACCCTGTACCAGTAGCAATAGGATGTGCCTTCGTGACATTGCCGATCCATGCAGGTGGTCAGTCTCTGCTCTCTCCCTCCTCTCTGCTCTCAAGCTAATATGCCCTATCCATGTAACGGTGACACACAAATGTGTTTTGTTGGTGTTGCCCAGCTGCCGCTCCATGCTGAGAGCAATGCCTTCCTCTCCACATCCTTGCTCCGCCCCAATGATGCCCACATCTCGTGATTTTGTACTGCAGAAGTAGAGAAGTGGAGAGCATTGGGGAGGAGAGAGGATACGTGAGATGGGAGAAGGAACTGATAAGACTCCAATAAGGGAGGTGGAAGTGCACCACAGTTCTATCGACTGCGATGTAGAGAGGAAAGACAAGTGAGGAGCAGGAGAAGGAGCAAGGGGGGGAGGTTTTAAAATCTCTTTTTGTTCGAATTGCTGCAGTGCAGAAGAGTGTAAGACGGTTTGGATTGGTAAGAACAGGCCATACTGCATGCAGGCATTTAGCACACACACGGAGACACTGGATATGGAGTGAGAAGGCATATCCTACTTCCACCAGCAAAAGAACCTGATCGCACCATGCCTCTCATCATCCCTCAAAATCGAACTCCCTCTCCCTACTCCAGCTCGCCCGCCCATACCCACGCACGAACAAGGCTTATCCCCAACTCATCCGCACACACTCTCATACCACACAACCATACCCCATCCCCACCTCACCTCAACCCCCTCCCAACCCTCCCCTTTCACCCCACCACACCCCCACCTCACCCCCATCTCACCCCCATCTCACCCCTGACCTCACCCTGACCACACTCCCACCTTACTAGATGCCTCTCGCAGTGCGCTGCCTCAGTCTCAAGGGCGCCCTGCTCCCACTGCACGGCCTGAACCCTCTCCTGCACTGCTCCCCCCTGCCCCTCGCCCCCACCCACTCCCTCTCCGCATGCAGCTGCTCCCCCTCTTGCAACTTTGAGTCGACGCTCGACACAAACACACATAGGAACGACACAGCGACACCGACACTCACGGAGTAGCGAGTGTTGGCGCAACATGCACTCACACACACACACACGCAAGCACACGTGCGCGCGCACACGCACGCACGCACACACGCGCGCGCGCACACACACACACACACACAACAGGCCACATGCAGTGACGAATATCAAAAAATTGTTTTAAGCCACCTCAAAGATGCATGCGAGCAGTGAGTACAGTTAAAGAGCAGCCTTAAAGGGCGCGTCCAGTTAAAGAGCAGCCTTAAAGGGCGAGTCCAGTTAAAGAGCAGCCTTAAAGGGCGAGTCTACTTAAAGAGCAGCCTTAAAGGGCGAGTCCAGTTAAAGAGCAGCCTTAAAGGGCGAGTCCAGTTAAAGAGCAGCCTTAAAGGGCGAGTCCAGTTAAAGAGCAGCCTTAAAGGGCGAGTCCAGTTAAAGAGCAGCCTTAAAGGGCGAGTCTAGTTAAAGAGCAGCCTTAAAGGGCGAGTCCAGTTAAAGAGCAGCCTTAAAGGGCGAGTCCAGTTAAAGAGCAGCCTTAAAGGGCGAGTCCAGTTAAAGAGCAGCATTAAAGGGCGAGTCCAGTTAAAGAGCAGCCTTAAAGAGCGAGTCCAGTTGAAGAGCAGCCTTAAAGGGCGAGTCCAGTTAAAGAGAAGCCTTAAAGGGCGAGTCCAGTTGAAGAGCAGCCTTATAGGGCGAGTCCAGTTAAAGGGTGAGTCCAGTCTGGAAGGCCCATTGGGAGAAGTGGGAGCGGTGGACGTGGTGCATCAAGGCGGAGAGAGGAAGCCATTGTGGTGCGAGTAAAGCCAGCGGTAGGTAGTGGTTGCCGGGCATCCACAGATTCTCAACTCCCCACCCCTGCATCGCTTCGGCTTGCCAGTTCGCGACTTGTCATCCGGCAGGGTGTTGTTCTAGGTTGTGTGGTGTGGTGTGGTATGGTGTGGTATAGTGTGGTGTGGTGCAGTGTGGTGTGGTGGGAACACAAAGGAGAGGGAGACGGAGAATCAAGAATAAGCAACTGCCAGTTACCCACAGATCCTCCACTTCCCGCCCCTCTGTATCACCTCCAATTGCAGCCCCCCCCCTTGAGATATGAGAATCTGCAGGGCATGATGGGACAAGGGCGAGGGAGGGACACTCGATAGGGGACAAGGGGTGGGAGGGATGATGCATGAGGTCGCACACCCATGCATGCACACGAAATGATCCACCCATCTGAGTCAACAGACACACATGCCAGCATGCATGCAGCGCACGGATCGAACGAGCTGTGACTGCTGGCTGAGGACACTGCTCACACACACGCACGCACACCCACACACGCATGCCAACATACAGCACTAACAGATTGACACCACACACAGGTGCAGCACTCACGCTATGGGCTCTGATGGAATGGGCACTCCTGCAATGGGCACTCACGCAAGGGCACATACTGATGCGCACTCACTGGTTGAGCGCGCTGCGCACCACTTGTGCCCCATTATACACCACCTCATTCAATTGGTGGATGACACCTAGGCACCTAGGCTCTGCAACTGTTGGGGGAGATGTGTGTGCGAGGGGGTAAGGATGATAGAATGAGAGGGGGAACACGAGGGAGTGGGATGAAGTAAGAGGCAGGGAGAAAGGAGGGAAAGGTAAGGCGGGAGGAGGGGGAAGGCGGGAGGAGGGGGAAGGAAAGACAGAAGAGGAAAGAAGGGATGACGAAGAAGATAAGAGAGGGGGAGAATGAGGGGGCAAGGCTTGAGAGGGTACATAGCACGTGATATCATTGACTGAGGCAGTACAAGGAGCGACTATCACATTACAGCTAGCACAGAACTGAATGCTGCATCTCACAGCAGCAATAACATGTGCATCACCCACATTGGCATCCACCGCCTTGGGAAAACGTGGGGACCTACCCAGCTTCTCAAGACAAATGCTCAAATAACCTCCTCTGCCAAGCCGTGGTGCCTCAGTAGGTCTCGGACCTCGAGCACTGTGGTCACAACGGCCTGCCGTATAGAGCAGAAGAGCAGGAGGGCAGGAGAGCAGGAGGGCAAGAAATCAGAAGAGCAGGCGAGCAGGAGAGCATGAGAGCAGGCGAACACGAGTAGAGGATGAGAGGAGGAATAAAATACCATGGATTGAGAAAACAAGTTTGAGGAGTGAATGAGGTATCCTCCTAACGCTACCTTTGTTGAGAGCCCAGGTAGTACCAGCTAGTCAAGAGTGAAACTGGCGTTTCGCATTTCAATGAGATCTTGGAATCTGAGAGCTCTCAAGTATGGTGGTTTAGGGAGGGAGGAGACACGTGGTTGTTTAATCATTTGCAATAACCATTTGTTGCAACTAACAGTTATTGGAGGTTGGTCAAGTTGACAAAGGTTGAAGGAATGGACCTAAGTTGCCAAAAACGCTTGAGACCCTTTGCATTTAGCGGATATACGCTGGCGTTTATACACTAAACGCTAAACACCAGCAAATACGCTACACGCTGGCAAATATTTTTTTGGGCAGCTTGACCTAAAAAAAACGTGGAATAACACCCTAGATTCCCCCCTATAATAGCCCTGGCGGTAGGAGAGTATTATGTAGTAATGTGTGTAGGAGTTGCAATCTGATTATGGGGTAAAAATATCACCTCTGAAACATAACACCCTAGATTCCCCCCTATAATAGCCCTGGCGGTTGTTTTTGCCCTGCCCGGGGAAGTTTTTTCCCTGCTCGAAAAAGCGTATGTCCAAATCGCCCCCTAAGCGGATAGCTTATATACGCTAGCGTATATACGATCTAGGTTGGCATAAACGCGTTTGGCGTATATACGCGTTCCGTATATACGCTAGCGTGTGAACGCTGAACGCTAGAGTGGTCAGATCCAGGATACGCATTTCTGGGCAGGGAAAAAAGTTTCCCGGGCAGGGTAAAAAACCCCTCCCGGGATTTGGTCCAGTGGGGTTTCATGCGGGATGTGTTTCTGTTTTTTTTTTTTTCCCATTCTAAAATTAGCCATGCCATACAAATCCAGTTACGAGTCATACTACTCTCTCCCTACTATACCCACCCTCCTCCCCCCCCCACTTCGTTACCCTCTACTCATACTCGTCCTCCAAGATAGCGTCCTCATCCTCACCCTCCTCCTCCTCCTCCTCCTCCTCCTGCTCATCCAGCACATTGTAACCTTCGGGGATGGGGTGCTCCGACTCATTCCCACACACAACATTCGGCATCACATCCTTGCGCGTGTGCCAGTTGCGCACAACGTTCCAGTTGTGCGCAACAAACACCAAATCCGCACACTTGGCGGATCCTAAGCGGTTCCTGCGGGCAGTGTGGACGGACTCCCACGATGACCAGCCACGCTCACAGGGTGAAGCCGAGACGGGCTGCGAGAGAATCCGGATGGCGAGGGACGCAAGGCGAGGGGCATCTGTTCCGTTCCACTGCCACCACTTCACCATGCTGTATTTTCCCGCCTTCACCATCTCCCTTTGTGCCACAGCCTCTGCCATCCCGAAACTACCCTTCATGTCCAGGAAATCCCTCAGCCCGTCCCCCGGCTCAACCAAGTAATCGCAGGCCGCATCCCTCCCCTTCCCGTCGTGGCCGACGAGGAACTCCGCATACTGGTGAAGAAACGCCTTGAAGACACGCGTGCATTCGGCGTCGCCGCCGAAAATGTCCTCTTCCCGGTTCGCGGGGTTGAGGATGCGGCCTGCCACGTGCATGGCGCACGCGAGGCTCTCGTCCCACCGGTCTTTGAGGATGCGGCAGATTTGCTTCTTATCGCTGATGCACAACTGCTCCTCATCCGCGTCCACGAGAGCCTCAACGTCCTCCGTGAGTTGAAGCATCACGTCATAGATCCTGCCCATCATCCCTTTTGCCTCCCCGTCAGTCATGCGCATCGCCTTGAAAGGGAGCTGCATCAGCTTGGTGAAAAACTCGGCAGTTTTCCACCACGCCGTGTCGAGTACCTGCGCGGCGAACTTCTCTGCAACCTCCTTGCGCGATCCAGCAGCCCACACCTTCCACTCGTCACTGACGACCATCTGCGTAAGGGTGGGGCGAAGCTGACAGAGACGGGAGATAGCAATGTATTGGGTCCCAAAGCGGGTCCCCGCGGGTTTCAACGGCTGCAACACCTTCCCCTCCACCAACTTACGGTCCCGCAAGTAACCGCGCGTCCAATGGTGGTTGCGGGTGAAGGAGCTCATCTCACCGCCACGGTCAACCACCTTTTTTGCCCACCCCATTTTTCCCACGTCCTCCATCATCAGGTCCATGACGTGGGTGGCACATGGAACCTGTTGAATGTGGGGCCACATCTTAATCAGCTTCCGGCACGCTGACGCGTAGTTGGAACCCCCGTCCATACAGAACGCGACGACGTTCTCGGGTCCGACTTCCTCCACGACGGGTTTCAGTATCCCCGCGATGTACCCCCCTGTTTTCTTCTCCATGTTGCAGTCCACACACTCCTTCAGGACAGCGCCCGCGTCGTTGACGAGGAGGACATTTGCCTGCGGCCTGCCACACTTGTCTGTCATCATGTCGGACGCGATGGTAACACCTGTCTTCTTCCAGCTAGCCTTGATCCCCATCAAGCCGTTCTCAATACCCTTGCGGCAAGCGAGCAGTCCGGCACCTCCGATGTACTTGCGACGTGGCGGAAGGTAGCCCTTCCCGGCGCGGGCGACCAGGTGCATAGAGTTGACGAAGAGCGGATGTTCGACCAGGTTCTCCGGGAGGCGACATGCGGCAATCATGAGCGCAAGACCTTCATGTGCTTCACTTTTTGCCGCAGCAGCGTCGCCCTCGAGGTAGTCGGTCATGTGGGCCCGTTTGCCACCGGCTTTGACCGACGCTGTAGCAGCCAACACCGCTCGCTATTTCTCTTCTTTCGCAGCAGCCTGCGCCTCGTACTTCTTGCGGATCTCGAGGCGAACATCAGCAGGTGCCTTCCCGCAAAGCGCCACCTCGCGGCGCTTCATCTTCTTCCATGAGCTAAGGTGCTGAGCGCATCGGATGGCGGCACCTGAAAAGACCTTGAAGCAGTACTTGCACTCGTACTGCTGTGCCTTGCCCTCTTCGCGCTTGATGATACTGAAGTGCTTGAAGACGTCGTGGACTACATCGGGAAGGTACTCCCTGGTCCCTTCTGGACGAGGGATAGAACTCTCCACAGACTGATCGGAATGCGGCGTGAGAGGCGGACTGCTGGATGACATCGCACTGAGGCTAGTTGTTGGTAGCGGGAGAGGATTACTGAATGGGATGGACGTTCTGACGAGTTGATAAATAGCATGACGAGTGGCGGGGGATTGGGTCGGAAGGGTTGGACTGAATGAATGTTGTGGGTTTGAATGCGGTAACGTGTTGGGATAGAAATGTTCAAACATGCACATGCGACTCGATGTACGTGACCATCAATATGTCAACGTGCAACATGTGAAAGTGAAATCGCGACACCAGGACATGAATCCAATTTCCCGCAACCCTAGATCTCGGACGTGCAATCTGACGTCGCAGAATTACTCGCCGTGCCATTCCGCATCTTTTGGTGTGTTTGAAAATTTTTGGGTCGGGCGGGCTGCCCCAAAAAAAAATTGGGTTGCGTATAGCGTATTCGCTAGCGTTTCGCGTATTGCGTATACACGCTAGCGTTCAAACGCTGAACGCTAAGGCCCCTAAGCGTATATTCCAACTTAGTATACGATACGCGTATATACGCTATAAGTGTATTTGGCAACTTAGGAATGGACCTGTCAACGAATTTCGGGACAGAGAACTGGTGGTTGTGAAAGGGCTCGCATGGATGTCAAGGTGGGGACTGATGATAGGTTGGCCAGCCGTTAGACTTTGCTTAGAAGCTTTGATCTGATCTAACGTGCATGCATATGATGGCAGTAGAGTGTGTGTGCTCTCCTGTGACCAGAAGCTTGACGAGCCAGCTTGTTGCCAACTCGCCACAAGCCAGACTGTAACAAACAAACAAGCTCGTGTATAGCACAAACTGCTATTGTTACCCTCAGAGAGCCAGATCTCTTGATGTTCTTTTGCTGGCAAACGCAAACCTAACCAGATTGCAGGCTCCAGTAGGCAACCTGGTTGCAGGATGGATACGGTAGACAAACTGAACCAAGCTTAGTTGCGATGCGACAAGAATTGGAGTGGATTGCATTGGACCACACATCAGATCAGTGAGTAGAAGGAAGAGACGGTGGGGGGGGGGGGGGGTGATTTTTTTTTTGGTTTTGGAAGGGATGAAGAAGCCCAAGGAGACAAAGGAATGTCACCAACGCTGCACCAACAGTTTCTGTGTTTGCTGTTGCAACAGCAAACCGCCAAGGCAAGCGCTGTAAGTAATTGTGCTAGCACTGTTGCTCCATGCATGCAGTCTTCCATTCAGCTACCCATGCTAGGCTCGATAGTATTCACGTACAGGCGAGTCAGGCTGGTGAGACTCCCCAACGACTCTGGAAGGGGTCCCCTAATAGTCATGTACGTCAGCACCCTGACATTGCAGATGTGGGTTGGCGATACGCGCGGGGAAGAATGGGTACATAAGGGGAATTTCACAGCGGCTCTTGATTTTGCAGGCGTTCAATTTGACCAGAGAAGATGGACTTTATATGTTTCACTGATTCTCAATGTGAAAAACCACGCTCTCTACATTCACACGCTGCCACAACGCATTTCAAGCAACAGGCTCGGGTGGGTCCGTGTTGAAGCACGGTTGGGGTCAGTGTTGAAGCACGGCCTATGCCAATCCCCATCCCGCAGCCCGTCACGTTTGAAGCCAGCTCTGTCCGGATCTGGGGCACAAACTGCCAACGAATCGAAAACTGATGTGCGACTGGAGTAAACCGTGTGTTGCAGGCTAATCATGGGCCGGCCACCGGCCTGTCGCAGGCCTATAGCAGCCTGTGATAGCGGGTCCCAGCGGCTGGTCAAAGGTTGAAGTCCCCGGAGTGGAGCACAAAGTCCTAGGTTGGGGCTGGAGTGAGAAAACCAGTCAAAGTCCAGCCCCTGGAGGGATGGTTGGTCGGTGCTGAAGGGTCTGGGTCCAGTCCGAGTGCCTAACCCAATGCATACCCCATGCTTCGCTCGCATGCCCCATGCTTCGCTCGCATGCCCCATGCTTCGCTCGCATGCCCCATGCTTCCCACCCATCCCATACCCTACTATACTTCACTCCATACCCCATGCTTCGCTCCCATACCCCATGCTTCGCTCCCATACCCCATGCTTCGCTCCCATACCCCATGCTTCGCTCCCATACCCCATGCTTCGTTCCCATACCCCATGCTTTGCTCCCGTGCGTCACCTACATTGCATCGATCATGCCTTGCGCGTTGCACGTGATGTTCTGTGCATGTGGCGTCGGCCCATACGGCCCACACATGGCTCCTGCCTGCCACCCCTCGAACGTCCTCCCCCACGCCTCCTGCAGCACTGGCACTGGGCGCCGCAAGTTCGAAAGGCGCACCCAAGTGAGGGCGCAGCAGATGGGTGAGGGCAGGAGCCAGGCAGGGGCAGCAGAGAGGGTGGCGGGCAGCAGAGAGGGTGGTGGGCAGCAGAGAGGGTGGTGGGCAGCAGAGAGGGTGGTGGGCAGCAGAGAGGGGTGGACGGAGAGTTCGATAAGGATAAAATATCGTGGAGAAGACGAGGGGAGGGGAATGGGTGGAGCAACAATAAACCCATGAGCAGGAAGGGGTTGAAAACGGGAGGGAAGGGGGCAGGGGAGGGGGGAGGGGGGAGAAAAACCAGAGAAAGAGAGGGAAGCGAGAGACAGGATGTAACGAATGAGAGTCATGCAATGAGATGCACCCACGTCCCTCGCAGCACAACCCTAGCCCACTACACCGCCCCTGACTGTCGCTCCGCTTTTCAGATGCAAATGCGCTCCACGCCACAATAAGTCGAGCACACACTGGGGATGCAAACGGGAGGAAATCGACAGCCCGTAGGGGGACGGAGGGAAGCGAGCCTGAAGCTGTGCGGTGGCGTTGAGGAGGTGGGCGACATGGTGCGAGGCACGGCGAAATGGTTGTAACACAGTGCGACACCATGATGGTGACAGGAGGGACGAGAGACTGAAACGGAGGCGAAATAACGGACCTTGGGAGGGATCTATGACGGACTGGAGAGTCAGCAAAACACGTGAGGAGGCACAGCGTGAGCGCGCCGTCGCTTAGTTGACGTCTGAAGCGGCCCATCAGTAGGCCCCGTCGAACAGCCGCGACGCACCAACTGCGCCTTCGCAACCCTAACGCGAACCTTGCACAAACGAAAATTGCTTCGATCAGGGCGGGTCATTGTTTTCTGTTTCACGGAAATTACATCAGTACAACGAAGTCAGGACGCTTCGGATGACAAACATCCGAACCAAGTTCATGCAGCGTCCTCGGGGCACCACGCTGACACATTATCTTCGCTCCACGAATTGAAACATTCGAGAAAAAACATGAAATCGTAAGCTTATTCAAGGGTAACCCTTTGACCACCGACGTCTCTGATTGGACGCGGAAAACATGAACTTTGCAGAAAAGGAGTAACCCTGTCTGGAGTTTGCAACACTTTCTAAAACCACACGATTCACAAACAAGGCTGGTGGTATCCTGCGTGTGTACGAAGGGAAGCAAACGCGTCAATTATCCAGGTTCAAAATTGACGTACCCTTCTGGAAAATTGATACAAGAAAAAAGGGGTGTCCAGCTCGTTCATTTACTGTTCGTAAAGCCCTTCAGTTACCACAATTTGCGTTGTAACACTGAGTTTTACAAAAATGCCAGATCCGATCACCTCCCGTTCACGATACGGCACACCCCCTGCACGTACCTCGAATCGTGTGACACACGTTACAGAAATCAGCGCGCGCATCTAACAATGGTACAGAACCGCGTCCTGCCCACTACAGTGAGTGCCCATCGTATCGCGCGCTTGATTTCGCATGTGCCGCCTGACACTCGCCAAAACCTATAGTGGAAGTGTTGGCCTGGCGAAAATTCTAACGCTTTGGTTGACGAGGGAACTGGTTACCTTGGTTGCCACACGGCCCCTGCACTGTTGAAGTTTGTGTGGGGGGATGGTGTCCGCGCGCCAGAATGACAGAAGGGTGGACTCGAGCAAGGCTCGTTCATTTATAGGTACAGTGTTCAGTTTTGAGCCCCGGATCGTGAGGAGGTACTAGATTTCCCGAAATGAACGAGCTGGACACGCCCTAATTGACCTGAGATTTGACGATTTGGACACGCCTCAACCGGCTCATGGGCGGCATTACTTCCTAGACTCGCAACTGGATTTTGGTTGTAACACCTCGCTACCCACTAGGTCAAAACGAGGGTTCTGTTTGAGGCGCAGCGGAGGCACTCAACCCACAGGCGTTACATTGGTGACCATAGGAGCTTGGTACGTTTCAGGTAGCTAAAATGTTCCATGTACTGTGTTGGACCAGCCCGGAAGCAGAGCAGCGTGCCATCCTTCATCGCGCTGCCCGCGCTGCCACTCTCCTGCTTCTGTCACGGCGTCTTATGGGCAATTTGAGCGACTAGCGCGTGCAGTTGCTCGATGCGCGGGTCGATCTTGCTGTGGAAGAAAGCTCCAAGCGTAGCAATTTTGAGTCGCGTGTTATCTGGCGACCTTGTGTGCGACACCCAGTCACGTTAGTCCATCTCTTCGCGCAGAAGCTTATGATCGAAGCTCAACGTCACCTTGCCACGAGAATACATTTACAAGAGTTCAGGTTTGACCATCGTAGCTGTTCCTGTTCGCCATCATGTCGACCAATGAGATCCAAGCGCTTCTCTCGCCGCGATTCGCCACAATCGATGCCATCCATGCCGAATCGATCACGGCCGTCTCGCCAAAAGGGGAATCGAGTCGGCTTATAGCGAATAATGGCGAAGACCTTATCGTGCCAGCGGACCTGGAAGATGACGTTGCTGAGTCAGCATCGGCGTCTGGTGGGCGCGGCGCGTCGCCATGGTGCGCGCCGTGGCTGTGGACGGCGGTTAAGGTGGTGGGGCTCGTGGTGCTCTGGCACACCTTCAGCACGGCGCTCTCCCTGTAAGCACGGCGCTCTCCCTGTAAGCACGGCGCTCTCCCTGTAAGCACGGCGCTCTCCCTGTAAGCACGGCGCTCTCCCTGTAAGCACGGCGCTGTCCCTGTAAGCACGGCGCTCTCCCTGTAAGCACGGCGCTCTCCCTGTAAGCACGGCGCACTCCCTGTAAGCATGTCGCGTTCCCTGTAAGCATGCCTCTTTCCCTGTGTAGCCACCCCTCCCTGTAGCTACCACTCTCCCAGTACGTGATCAAGTCTCTCACAGGGCTGGCCATCCTCCGGGCCGTTGCATTGCAGTAACGAACAGGCGGCACGCGGAGGCCTTACTTCCATCAACTCGTGTTGTTTTTAGACAACGAAACGAGCCCCATGGGCTGGCCAGCCACTGGGCCCGTTCGCCCGTATTTCCCTTGGCAAGAAACCCGTTTTTGCCCCCTGCTGTACCCGTGCACTCCCGCTATGCATCGCACTCTCATGTCATGCATGTACACACGGGGGGGGCGGTGGTGGGTGGGTGGACGGGTGGGTGTGGGTGGGTGGGTGGGTGGGTGGGTGGGTGGGTGGACGGGTGGGTGTGGGTGGGTGGGTGGGTGGGTGGGTGGGTGGACGGGTGGGTGTGGGTGGGTGGGTGGGTGGGTGGGTGGGTGGGTGGGTGGACGGGTGGGTGTGGGTGGGTGGGTGGGTGGGTGGGTGGGTGGGTGGGCGGGCGGGCGGGCGGGCGGGTGGGTACTTGGCAGGTACATCAAGGCGTTGATCGGCAAGACGCACGGGCGCTTCCCGGCGCCGCTAATGATGACCACCGTGCACTTCCTGGTGCAGGGCGGCATCGCCTCGCTGCTGCTGCCACTCGTGGCTGCCCGCCTTGCCTGGCGCAACTACTTCGTGCGAGGTACGCCGTGTGGGTGGGAGGGAGTGGGCATGGGCACGCTCGGGAGCTCATGCATGCACGTCCTGCAACGTGACCATTGAGGCTGGTTCAGGCGACTGTCTAATGGATGCTTACTTGTTTAAACGTGTGTCGGCCTGTGCCCCGTGTGCTGTTGTGCTGTGCCCCGTGTGCTGTTGTGCTGTGCCCCGTGTGCTGTTGTGCTGTGCCCCGTGTGCTGTTGTGCTGTGCCCAGTGTGCTGTTGTGCTGCGCCCCGTGTCCTGTTGTGCTGTGCCCCGTGTGCTATTGTGCTGCGCCCCGTGTGCTGTGCCCCGTGTACTGCTTCACCCCATGCGCTGCTGTGCCGTGCCACGTGCGTGCATGCAGTGGTGCCCACGGGAGTCGCCACATCGCTGGACATTGCCCTCTCCAACCTCTACCTCGCGCTCGTCACCCTCACCTTCTACACCATGGTACGCATTCCTTCCCGCCCTTCGTCATCACTGTGCGATATCTTATCTGCTTCATTCACTGCAGTCTTGGTCAAAATGATCCACTTACGTGGGTGCGCTCAAAAGTGGGTGCGCTCAAAAGTGGGGGCAATGTCTTATCCGTTTCAGAAAGAGTCGAGTGTGGCACTCAAATTTGGGTGCGCTCTCCACACACAGACAGCACGTTGCGATGCATAGAGTAGAATAATTGACTCGCGCATCAACAGTGGCATAAAACCTCTCTCCTGCACCATATCCCCTCTCCTGCCTGCGCATGTCCCAGTGCAAATCCAGCGCGGGTGTCTTCCTCCTCCTCTTTGCCTTCCTCTTCCGGTGAGCCACGCCACCGTGATTGCCATGCCATCCTCACCGTGACTGCCATGCCATCCTCACCGTGACTGCCATGCCATTCTCACCGTGACTGCCATGCCATCCTCACCGTGACTGCCATGCCATCCTCACCGTGACTGCCATGCCATCCTCACCGTGACTGCCATGCCATCCTCACCGTGACTGCCATGCCATCCTCACCGTGACTGCCATGCCATCCTCACCATGACTGCCATGCCATCCTCACCGTGACTGCCATGCCATCCTCACCGTGACTGCCATGCCATCCTCACCATGACTACCATGCCATCCTCACCGTGACTGCCATGCCATCCTCACCGTGACTGCCATGCCATCCTCACCGTGACTGCCATGCCATCCTCACTGTGACTGCCATGCCATCCTCACCTTGACTGCCATGCCATCCTTGTTAGAGACTAAGGACGGAGTCTACGAAGATTAGGTGCCGAAATTTCTCAAAATCGTTGGCTTAGAATTCTGGACAGAATTGTCGAGTTCACAAGAAACGCCGTCGACAAACAACGCACTGTTGAAACTTCACCAATTTCACATATGTTGTAGCTCTAGTCCGTGGCTACAATTCCCAATTTGAATCGTATAGAAAGGTGAAATAAATCTTGACTTATCAATTTCGGCGCACAGGGGGGTGTGCTGCCATAAGAACTTAACTCAATCACAAAGTTCACACAAGTTCACACAAGAGAATTAGAGTAGCACTAAACCAGGTGGAAGGGATGAAAAGGATGAGAGGGAAGGTCCCAAGAGAGTCCCCAACCAAGGAAACTCCATGCCACACAATTCCCTTCCCCATAGGCAACCCAACTTTGACCTTTGTCACTATCCCAACCTCCACTATCCACCTCAACCCAACTTGGCCACACTTGCCAACCTGGTTTGGTTTCTCCCAACCATTTGGCAGCATCTACAGTGATGGGTTCGAATTTCCCAACCCCCACAAGTCTGTACCCCATATTGAGTCAATGCCACAACTTTCCAAAGTAGCTGCAACCAAAATATATAAGCATACGAACTCCAATGTTCGTAACTTTCTTGGTTGTGCTCCGATCGCGACGATTCTTGGTTCGTCGGAAAGCTCTTGAGTAGAGGAATCACTTCATATATCTGCTCAAGCCAAATAACATACACACACACAGACACATACACACACACACACACACACAAACACAAAATACAAACCACATAAGACACAAATTTCTTGCACACACTCACACCACGCATGCAACGCACAAACACATGATGGGAGGCAGACAGACGTGAATGCACATAGTTGCATCACACAACAAACTCCCCCTCTGGCTGCCAACCATCATCCCACATGCCATAACTCAAGCATGCACCCTCAATGCACACTCATTCCCGCAAGCTTCATGCCCTTCCAATGCTCAGGTTCTGCCAGGCGCTTGGTGAGAATGTCAGCCGCCTGCTGCTGGGTCTTCACAATCTCCAACCGCACCTCCTTGTCCAGGAGCCTCCTTGTCCAATGCCACTTTGGCTTGATGTGCTTTGTCAAGTTATGAAGACAGGCATTCTTCGCAAGCTTCACCGCCGACTCATTGTCACAGAAAATCACAGTCGGCTCCCTCTGACACACTCGGATTTCCTCCAACAAACGCCTTAGCCACACCACCTCCTTTGCCCCATGATGCAGGGCCTTGTACTCTGTCTCACACGAGGACAACCCCACCTCGTTCTGCTTCTTGCTGCGCCAGCTCACTGCACCACCTCCAAAGAGGCACACATAGCCTCCAATGCTGGTGCCATCCGTCTTCACTGAGTTGAAGCTAGCGTCGGTGTAGCAAGTCAAGCGCATCTCCCCCTTGCTCAAATTAGCTGCACCCCTCTGTAGCCTCTGTCGCACAGCACTGTACTCCAAGCCCACTTATGATGTAGCGCTCACATAGCGGACCAACCTCTTGGCCGCTTCCAGCTGCTCATGACTTGGGCATGAAACCACACTCGCAAGCCTGGATGTAGCAAAGGCAATGTCAGGCCGCGTGTGGTTAGCCGCATAGTTGAGTGCCCCCACCATGGAGTGAAACAACTTCCTGTCACTCTCCCCCACCACCTCCTCATCAGCACAGGGCTCCACAGTGAACCCCGAAGGCAGCGGGGTGGCTGGCTTTCCTGCATCTTGCAACCCATACTTCTCAGCCAGCCCCTCACAATACTTCCTCTGGTGCAACCTCAACACTCCCTTGTCAAGGTCCCTCTCCACATACACCCCAAGGTAGTACTTCACATCTCCCATCTTGGAGCACTTGAACTGCATTTCCAGCATCTCCTCCATACGTTCAATCATCGCAGATGACTCAGAGAAGAGCAGGATGTCGTCCACGTACACCAGGAGCATGAGGAACTGCTCCTTCTCTTGCAGCAGGAACAGGCTGTGATCACACTCGCTCTTCTTAAACCCCCCGGCCAGCAGTGTCTCCTCCAGCTTGTGGTACCATGCGCGAGGAGCCTGCTTCAGGCCATAGATGGCCTTCTTGAGCCTGCACACCCTGCCGCTCCCATCATCCAACCCCTCAGGCTGCAGCATGTACAGCTCCTCCAGAATGATTCCATTGAGGAAGGCAGTGATTATGTCCATCTGCTTGATCTTCCAGCCACGGTTTGCAGCCATTGCCAACATTGTCCTCAGTGTAGTGCCTTTCCCCACAGGAGCAAAGATATCATCAAAATCCTTCCCCTTTGTCTATTGGAACCCCTTAGCCACAAGCCTTGACTTGTAGCGGGTCAGCTCCCCATCAGGTCCGTACTTGTGCCTGAAAATCAGCTTGGAAGAAATGGCCTTCTTCCCTGGAGGCAGCTCACACAGCTCCCACGTCTCGTTCTCCAGAAGAGAGTCATACTCCTCCTTCACACTCTGCTTCCACTTCTCAGCATCGGGCCCACTCAAGGCCTCGGTAAGTGTCTTGGGCTCAGGGACGGCTGCCCAGTAACAGTCCGCTATCTCCTCCTCATCACACTGCTCAGCCACACTCCCAGCCCTTACCACACTTGGCTTCCCAAAGCTCGGATAGGTCAGCTGGTTAGGAGGGCGCTCATCCCTCCTTGGACGGTCAGCCGGACGTACGGCACCTTGTGGAGCATCTTGCTGCTGCTGCTGCTGCTGCTGCTCCTCCACCTTAGGTTCTCCCCCATCCTCAGTCACCCCAGAAATCTCCTCCTCTGAGACAGTGACCTGCACTTGCCTCGAAGGCCGCTGCACCTCATCAGCCTCAATGATCAGCGGTGTAGTGGGAAGCTTCTGCTGCTGCTGCTTCCACTCCTTGTAGTACAAGGACTCAAGGAACTTCACATCCCTCGACACAGTCAGCTGCTGGCTGGTCAAGTCCCAAATCAGCCAGCCCTTGTGATCCTTAGCAAGCCCCAAGTGCACACCCCATCTCCCAGAAGCTTCCAGTTTTCCCCTCTTCTCCTTAGGCACATGAAACACCACCATGCAGCCGTAGGCTCTCAGCATGTTGACTGCTGGTGCACTCCCATACCACTTGGTATAGGGGACCCATTGCTTGTCCCCCACTGTCGCCAGCACCCGGTTCTTCACAACAGCGACCTGCCGCAGTGCTGTCACCCAAAACGGATCCGGCAGCCCTGCACGCCCAAGGAGAGTGCGAGCACCTTCCTGCAGGGTCCGGTTGAACCGCTCAGCCACGCCGTTCTGCTGAGGGTTGTAGGGCACCGTGAGCTGATGCTGGATCCCCTTCTTCTTCAGCACCGCCTCAAAATCAGCGCCAATAAACTCTCCCCCATTGTCGGTGCGGATCACCTTGACCTTGTGTCCGCTCTCCCTTTGTGCTCTCGGCATCCACTCCTTAAGAACAGCCGCTGCCACCTCCCCTTTAGTCTTGAGAGGGTAGACCCACACCGCACGTGTGTGGTCGTCCACAATGGTCAAGAAGTAGCGGCTGCCCGAGAGAGAAAGGGCCCTTGTGGGGCCCACCACATCCATGTGCACAAGCGCGAGTGGAACCTTGGCTGGTCCCGTGCTGCTGCTGAAAGGGAACTTGGTGAACTTTGTCTCAAGGCATGTAGGGCAGCTCCCAATCTCCTTCGCTGCCCCCTTCACCTCCAATCCCTTCAAGCTCCCATCCTTCACCAACTTCTGCCGCATAGGAATGTTGATGTGGCACAGCCTCTCATGCCACGTCTCCCAATCGGCCTCACCACTCTCAGACGAAGCCTTTGCCCATGCAGCCGTTGCATCCACACCAGCAAGCACCTCACCATGTGATTGCTGTGGCTGCTGCACCTTCTTGACTGCATCCAGGGCCCCAGCAGTTGGTGCAGTCTCCTCTCCTCCCGCAGTTGCTTTAGCCGCTGCCGCTGCCGTTGCCTTTGCCGTTGCTGGAGGTTTCCCATTCCAAGGGATGATGGGCAGCTGCCACAGGTCCTTGATGCAGCTGCTCTTCTCCTCCAAATCCCACAGCAGCAACTTCCCAAGCTTTGCATGGCAGCTGGTTGGGCCGAACGTAACTTTGGCCTTGCTTTTCTGCAGCCGGCGCACAGAGAGGAGGTTAGCGGATAAACCTGCAACCAACAGCACATTTCCCAGCCCCACAAGCGCCCCATTAGCTCCCATAACCTTGGCATTCCCAACACCAATCACAGGGAGCAAGGCACCTGAAGCGGCAGCCACAAACTTTATCTTCCCAGGAGGCTTCACCTCATCAAGCAAATCTGCCCGTGGAGTCATGTGACTCGTGCAACCTGAATCGATCACCCTATGAGTAAGGGGGTGCATCACAACCTTCCCAACTGAACCCACATCACCCCCACTCCCTTGCACATCCTCAACCATGAGGAACATCCTAGGGTCGGCTTTACCTTGTGCACCATCACCTTGTGCACTTGAACCTTGCACAGCACCACCTCGTGCACGTTCACCACTTGGCGGCTTCATGCCTGGAGGCGCCCATCCTTCAGGCCGGCTGAAACACTTGAACCACGGGTGTCCAGCCTTCTTGCAGTACCAGCACGCACCCTCCATTCGGGTGCTC